GGGGGGGTGGGGGGGGGGGGGGGGGTGGGGGGGGGTGTGGGGGTGGGTGTGGGGGTGGGGTGGGTGTTCGTCTTGAAGTCATTCTCACTCACACACTCACATACCCACACACGCATCCACACCCCACCCGAACGATTAGATTACAAGTGGAATTACACAAACTGGGTATTTATGCTGTTGGTACGGTAAGACCAAATCGATTACCTGGTTTAGTTATGAAAGACGACAATGATTTATCAAGTGAAGGACGTGTTGCAATGGATCATCGTGCAACTGAAGTTGATGGTGTTCAAATTTGTGCAATCTAATGGTACGATAATAATGTCGTTAACTGTCTTTCAACATTACATGCTTGTCATCCGATGGATTTGGTCCAACGGTGGTCAACCAAAGAAAAAACCATATGCAGGTCACAAGACCAAATGTTATAAAAGCTTATAACCAACATATGGGAGGGGTCGATTTGATCGATATGTTGATTTCGCTCTATCGTATCAATGTTCGCTCACAGAAGTATTATATTAAGATCTTTTTTCATCTTATTGATCCATCATTAGTAAATGCTTGGCTTCTGTATCGTCGTCATTGTTCACAACATAAAGTTTCAAAAACGAAGATAACGTCTTTACTAACATTTTGTGTTAATGTAGCTGAAGCTTTGCTTAAATCTAATCCATCACCACCACCAGTGAAGCATGGTCGTCCATCATTGCAATCAGTAACAAATGAAAAATTGCCTCCATCATCATCTACAACTGCACCAAATCCAGCTCCACTAACAAGTGTTCGATTGGATAAATTTGATCATTGGCATGTTCACACAGAGAAGGGCCGCTGTCGAAATCCTGTTTGTATTGGCCAGACAAGAATATCATGTTCAAAATGTGAACTACGCCTATGTTTGAACGATAAAAATAACTGTTTCAAAGAGTATCATAATTAATAAGTTGTCTTTCTTCAAAGTAATTGTTGATCTTGACTGTTATTGATTTTCTTGTGTGTCTTGTTGCTCTATATATATTTATATCTTTTCTTCTTGTACAGACTTCATGAATCAATGAAAAAATCATAAAATGTTGCATTTTCATAGACGAAAAGAAAAAATAAATTTTGTAAAATTTTGACCCATTGTGGCCGGATGTGTCCAAATGGATACATCAAGCCATTAGATGCCGAAGGACTTTTTGGTTCCGAAAAATAAACTTTTCCTATCTCCATGATCTAGGAGCAACTAAAATGCATGAAAACAGTTTTCTGCTACCTTTCTTCTAGTAGCCGGCTGGAAAGGGTTAAAAGACTATATATATAAATGATAGAGTTAATATACTTTTATAGTTGTTTACTATATTTATTATAAATAAGCTAGGTGTTCTGGATACGTTGGTGATTTATTTCAATCTTATTCTGAAATAAATAGCAGGTAAACGATATAAACAAAATGATAATGTTGAAAAAGGAAAGAATATTCATTTCATCTTGATATTGTAAATAGATGAAAACCTTTTTGATCGTAGAGAAAAATCGTTCAATTTGTACAATAGCGTATCACGAAGTAAAATAAAGGAAAAATATGTAATGAAATAGTTCTGTCGAATGTACCCTAAACTACATTTAAGAACCATGTTTTGTACCGAGCTTTTGAGAAAAGATTTCACAATAATTATATGGTGAACCATATTTTCTCTGTCAAATCCTTTTATAATTTCCTATTTTGACTGAGAAACCGTGAAGAGTTCTGCAGAACTGACAGAACCTTTTCTGTTTCAATATCTTTGGATAGAACACTTTTTATAGTTCAGCATTTCTCGAAAGAGAACATTTGATGGTTCAGCATCATTGGACGGAACCACTTTGGTTCAGCATTTTTAGGCAAAGAACTTTTTGTGGTTCAGCATTTTTTGACAGAACCTTACAAGGTTTAATATTAGTGGGCAGAACCTTTCAGGGTTTAGTGCTATCATACAGAACTATAAATTGGTTCTGGGCATGCTGCAGAACCAAAAATAGTTCTGCAAAACTCCTTTTTTTCTTTCAGAGTAGGCTGCCAGTGGACACATCATTGTATCGCCGATGAAAATGAAAGTGATTCCATCAATGATGCTGCATTATTCATCGATAGTTTTTCGTTTTTGAACCCAATAGGGACCGAAGCACTCAATGCCACCAGTCCCACCTAATTTCTCTCTCTCTCGCCAGCCTCTGCAATTATGTTCTGAGACTTGACTTCAAGTGTTGTCTCATTTTTTCCTTCGTTCGTTCTCAAAATCCAAATCTTTGTATGTTAGTAGTCTTCAGATCGAATTTTTAAAATTTCTATCTTGTTGTCTTATGTTGCTCCTACCATGCTCTCTTATCTTCCTCCTTCGAATGTGTCGTTCCCCACTATTCGTCAAATTGATTGTTCTCTTGATAATCTCTCTATGAAATAGTATGGCACGTTTTGGCTTATTCTAAGTTTCGTCAACACTCAGAAACGAAACGTCTCATAATATTTTATAAGCATATTGCTAACAGAAGCACAAATACAAATGTGAAAGATGGCAGCTGGTGATACATTCGACTGGGGAAGCGAAGAGAGGATGATAAGAACAACGTGAGTTAAGAACGTAGGAGAGAGTGAGCATTGTTTCGTAATAGCGAGTGGAAGTATGTTAATTCATGTAGTGTGACGCAAGAAAACGGCTGCATTCTGCCGAAATGAACACGTTTCATTAATCAAGTTTTCGTTTGAATTCAATGCGTAGCAATACATTGACGAAAGAATGTTTCAACGTGTTAATTTCGTTGCATTAAATTGAAATGAAAATGATCTATTGTTAACAGTGTTTACCCATTACCCTGTTTATGTGGGGAATGAGCAGTTATGCGATATAAGGGAAAATACACATAGCGAGTGCCAGCCGAGTACAAATCTGTATGCCATGCCACACCACTGAAGCAATGAATAAATCTATCCATGAATGTAACAGCCGTCGAATAATCAACTATGACTATAGTCATGACTGATAATTTTGTTTTCGAGATTATGAGACCTAATTAAAATAGAGGCTCGAAAGGTTTTCATTATTTGTGGAACATCGCCCAAAAGTAATTCTAGAAATCCTGAAAGGCTAATTTTCTGTATCAAAGTAAATGGAGACAGTTTTGGACAAGATTTGTAAACTTTTCGTTTATGAATGAAACATTGAAACTGTTTTCTAGCACCAGAGAAAATTTATCTCATTGGCATAAAGTACGTTAAAGATATTCAAAATTTTTATTGTGAAACTATTGATAGAATATCCTGAATAGTTTAAATGTATAGAAGTCTTTTTTTTCTTAAAATCTGAAGTTCAGTGATAATTCGGGCGGGCGTTTGTAGCGGCGTCGAGTGAAGAAGCAATTATGCTACAAACAATAATAATATATAAGTAATAGAATTTATTGTGTTTTCTATTCTTACCATTTTTTTCAAGCTGAAGAATCGCATTGTATATAGCGTCGGTACTTTCCGAATCAGTGACATTGGCTTCACGCAATAGAACAAATTCTTTTGGTTGAGATTTTTTCAATTTGATCTTACGATCGAATACTAATTTGTCCAATTTGGCGCCCAAATCAGTCACCACTTTAACAATATTAGATCGACTGCCTAGAGTAGAAATTAATGCTTTAGCATCGATTGGTTTGAGAGCGTTCAATGTTGCTTGATCAACAATGTTAGGCATCAGACCATTGATATCGATAATGTTTTCGACAAATGTTTGACACATATTATTTTCGCCAGCATCATACTTGTAAAAATTTTTGTCGACATTCGACGCTATAGAAATTAATCGATTGAGAGTTAATGGTTTATTTGATGTTAGTGGAATATCGTATACATCGATCAATTCGTCTGGTACAGTCGGATAATTGAGAGCAATGCGCTGTGCTTTCTCAAGTTTAAGAATAGTGCTAGGAGTTACATTTTGTCTGACACTTCCAAGTAAATGTTGTAGTACATTGGGTCCTTGACTATTCTTAATAGTAATGAGTAAATAATTGTGATAGATATCATCATAGCCAAGTTCAAGTTGTTTATCGGTAAATTTCGAATCGCTTAAAAAGTCAAGTATTTTAAGAGGAAGATCTTGAACAGGTGTATGGCCCAGTTGAATTTTAAGAATGAGTTCATCGCCCATTGTCTCCAATAGGCTTCGTACTCGTACTGGCATTTCTGGGTGGTTTTTTGCGGCGATAAGTTGCGATTTATGATTCTTGGACTACGAATAAAAATTAGATAATTATTTAAGATAGCTGTGAGAATGTAAAAAATGTTTATTGTCCTTTCCACATAATTACCTATTTTCATAAAATCCTCGACGAAGTCAATTCAACAAATAAGACTGAATTGTTCATAAGATACACAATTTTTATTCTTACCTTTTCAAAAAGTAAGCCGGCAGCTATCATTGTCGTACAGAGGAAGATCTATAACTGCATGAAAATTAGATTGTATTGCATGAATCTAAACGAGAAGTGATGTACCAGGTAAATGGTATTTGAAAAAAATGATTGAATGAAATGAATAAGGCGCTCGTTCAAATAATTAGGTTTTTCAACATTAAGAGGCAGTATTGGTCTATGATGTTCTCTGATCCTTTATAAGGCACCATGTCAATAACTTTGTTCAATCAATTAATTGGTTAAAATGTTTGTGAAGAAGACAATTGTTGGAAAATTGGGTTTCATGCTTCTAACTTATATTACAAAAACTTTCAATTTAGATCTCTGCTGAGGAACAATTTGAATTCTCATGTTTTCGATCCTTACAATACTGTTGGTATTTCTAGTTTCCAGTAATATCATCTATTCATTTTATTCTTTACGATAGTAATAAAGTTCGTTGTGAGAGCTATCGAAATCGCTATTTAGATATCTTCGGTAGATTGTGTTTGATAAAAAGATCTAAAAAAGCTGCTTTTAACTTTTATTGCTCACTATATAATCCTAGGAGCAAGAAAATATTTAATCAACGCTTACCTTTGTACTCTAATGACTAGTGTTACGAATGTATGCCTGATTCTGCAGATTATACACCTGTTTGTGTATTTTTCTCTACCAACCGTCGAGTAGCATGTCATGCTGCCAGTATTGACAGGCTGCTTTATCATATTCTCTTCTATGCGAATTTACATATATGTTTACTGTCATTGAGTAAATGGAATAAAGCCTTTGACCAAAGGGTGTGGGATGTGGATATGGGTATGAGTGCGGGTGTGGGTGGGTGTGGGGTGGGTGTGGGTAGGTGTAAGTGTGGATTGGCATGGATGTACCTGGGGGTGGGGGTTGGTCTTCTTTTCATCTACAACCGCACCCACACACCCACACCCACACCCACACCCNGTTTCGTTGACAAAGCCCATATCCGGCCTTTCAAAGACCTTTGAAAGATATTTGAAAGATATTTGAAAGATATTTGAAAGATCTTTCAAAGACTTTTCGAAGACTTTAGAAGATCTTTCAAATATCTTTAGGACAGTTTGCAAAATCTCTCAAAATCCTTTCAAAGATCTTTCTATCACTTCTGAGATCTTTCAAAGGCTTCACAATTCCCACGCGTAGTGTGTAAAGACAGAGTTGATGCCGTGCCCCACAGCAAGCACTCTTCCATACCCACGAAGTACCAAAGCGTGGTATGTCATTCTGGTTCCTAAGGAGGATGCGGATTCAAATTTTCTCCTTCACTTTCACCAACGTCGGTGTACATACCAAATCTTCGTAGTGAAGAGCCTGGTGGTCTCAGACTCAATCATACCTTTTAATGTAAGATATACGAGAAAAGATTTCCGACGTATTTTATTTTTCTTAAACTCAGATAGTCGTCTGAAAACAGCTCCCAGGAAAGGATCGTCGTGCGCAATCTGTGCGAAAGTCATGTCTTTTGATTGTTGTGACTTACATGCGCAAGATCGCATCAAACTGAGGTGCATGAGAAAGTATCGTTCAAAGTGTTTGAAAGATCTTTCATAGATCTTTCAAAGAGGTTTCGAACCGGTTTTCATGTTTTTCCCGTGGGAAACGGTGCGTTCCTTGCCGGTTTCTGGCGGATTCATCTAGGTTCCTGAAGGATCCGGAGGCCGGAATCGTTGACCTGGGGTATGAACAAATAAAATCAAAATTATCGTTAAATTACGGCTTTTAACAAGCTAGAGACCATATTCTTTCTATTCGGCATCAGCAAGCTTTGGGCTAACATGAAAATCAGTACGGATCTAATGCGTCCAATATCGTTCTAACGGATTGTAGAAACTGATTGTCTGAAAAACAAAAAAAATCCAAGAAAAACATGTATTAGTGCATAGTTCTGATGTTTTCTTGTTTTTACACTGGAATTTCGAATACCTTTAAATTCGAATATCTCTTCCAGGACATGTCTTGCGCAGCTAATATTACAAATTTTTTAGTTTGAAGATGAGAACTTTGCTTTGATCCAAAATATGTCTGATCCTCTTAAATCAGAATACAAAACCCTCCATGTGAAGATCGAGACAATATCTTGCTTACTGATTTCATGATTTCATGATCTTAATTACATGATGTTTCACTATAATAACTATTGTAACTTATAACTTTTAAATCAAAGTCAAAGTGCCTTATCTATTTTGAATTCCATGACATTTATGTAAAATTCTCTCAAAAATTAAGTTTCAAAAGTGTTATCATTTTTTATATAAAACTAATAAAGTTATCAGCTGTATAATGTATTAATCAATCAAAAATTTCAAATCCTTGAATTTATTTCATTGATGTCTGCTAATGAGAAAGATGTGTTGAAATTCTTTTGATCACCTTTATCTCACTAAGACGGTATCGTTGGCGGTTTCCCTATTGGCCCTTTGACTGAGTCAGAACTATTGAAAGCATTCTAGAAAGTTTCACAAAACTTGCAGAAAAGTGCATCAAATCTCTAGCATATTTGATAGAAATCTGTTTCACGTTAGCCACAATAGATATGACTGTCTCGTGCTCTTTTTTATTGTAGTTTTACCCGAGGCTCCGATCGATTCTCACTGTGCACGGAATGGTGTTACCGTTGCTGGTGGTCATAGATCTGGTGATGCGTCGAATCAACTCTATCTCCCTCTCGGTCTTTTTGTTGATGATGATCAAACGATTTTCATTGCTGACTTCGGAAATGACCGCATTGTGCAATGGAATGTTGGTGCCGAGAGTGGTCAAGTGATCGTCGGTGGCCATGGACGAGGAAACGATTGGATCAATTGGATAGGCCAATCAATGCGGTTGTTGACAAAGAAACAGATAGTCTTATCATTAGCGATGCAGATAACCGACGAGTCGTCCGATGGCCTCGTCGAAGTAACGCCACAAGTGGAGAAACAATACTGAACAGTGTCGATTGTTATGGATTGACCATGGATGATCAGAGATGCCTGTACGTCTCTGACATCGACAAGAATGAAGTGAGACGATATCGAATGGGAGAGACGAGTGGAACAATCGTGGCTGGTGGTAATGGAGAAGGTAGTCGTCTCAATCAACTCAACAGGCCAACCTACATCTTTGTTGATGTGAATCATGCTGTGTATGTGTCGGGTCGTGACAATCATCATGTGATGAAATGGGTCAAAGGTGTGAAAGAAAGAATTGTCGTGGCTGGAGGTCGAGGATATGGTAATGCTCTGACGCAATTGTCATATCCTCGGGGAGTATTCGTTGATCCTCTGGGCACAGTGTATGTAGCAGACGAGGAGAATCATCGAGTAATGCGTTGGTACAAAGGAGAAACATAAGACGACGTTTTTGCTGGCGGAAATGGTAAAGGACGAGGAGCAAACCAGTTGTACTGGTCCCATGGCTTGTCATTTGATCGACACGGCCATCTCTATGTCGTCGATTATGGAAATGATCGAGTTCAACGATTCTTCACTGAAGATGGTCGTTAAAATTGTTGCTTTTTTTGTTCCTGCCAATACGATGGATACAAGAGCAGATGAAATGGCTTTTGAATGAAGAATCAGTTCATTTCACCAACGATTTATTGTAGCATGTGATCAGGAGACCACACACGAACGCAGTAGAATGACTCATATGAATGTGCGGGTCCGAAGGCACCACCGGTGCCACAATCATCAGCATGGTTTTCTAACTGAAAGCTTCTTCTCAACTCGGAAGGAAGCTTGAGAGTACGGCCTCCACAAAAAGGGTGTGGGTGTTAATATTTTCATCAACGCCCACACCCATAATATACGTATGTGTATTTAGATTCGGGAAAAAAGAACATAGCCTGGATCTCATTGAGGTACCCGAGGACCTAATCAAATCGCTACACCATGTTCCAATTTAGGTTTACTGAATCTGATTAGAGTTAAATCTGACTCAATTCGAATAGAAAAATTGATACTCTAGTGGTTGCTAAAAAATGGTTATCCATTCCCATCCTTTGAAATACATTCAAACATTTATTATGTTTAAGATGTGATGTTGACAATAGATTGCATTATGTGTTTTTTAATGCACTATACTACGGTGTACCTTGAGAAAATCGAGGTACCCACAAATCATTCGTTTTGACACTTGAGTATGTTTAATGATTATCTTATTTTCTTGATCTATCCAAGAAAGCAAACATGCCTATTTTTACACAAGTACCTTTTCTTCTATTGATACGTTTCTTGAAAATTATGCAATATTCAAAAAAGTATAAAACACAAACTGTCATGTTTCATTGACCTTCGTGAACGCCATGATACCGTACGATCACAATATCACGTCGATCAAGGCAGCAAATACGGTACATAGATACACGATTATTGTTCATACTGCTATTAAAGCTACGGCTGTTTATACTATTCAACGTAATTTTGAGTAACAAATATTATGTTTGACTTTCATTGCATATTATTCTGTGTATGTGCGTAAGTTGCCAGAAAAATGTTACCAATAACTATAAAGAAGTTGCATCCTAAAAGTCGACATTAAAACTTAGAAAAGACATGAGAAAAACTGCAGTGCAATCTTATGTACAGCAAGTAACAATAAATATAAGATTTATGAGATGAAGCCGTAGCAGTCTTCGCTTAGAAGAAAGGCATATTGTTCGCAAAAAAGTATGTTCTTTCATTAGAAAAAGACTCCACTTAAATAATGAAACAATCCTAATGTGATACACTGCCTTTAGTGTAAAATTTTAGTTGTTCAGTGAGAATATCGACGTCTTTCATTTTTAGAAGCTTCTAAGATATGCACTTATCATCTGTAAGTGTTCATACATAAACGATGTGTCACTTCTTGAATATAGTTCTTAAGTTAATCCATCCTTGTGATAGGTGACTTGAGTTTTTCTCGTTCTTATCTTCTTGCAACATCACAGTATACCTCATACAAAAGTTGATTTGTATAAAATACAAAAGACTTCTTCCCTTGTTATTTGAAGTGGAGTTGTGTATAGGTACGACTGTCAGTACCTTACCTTCTTCACAAAGATTTCTATTCATAACTTGGGTGGGTGTGAATGTAGATGTAGGTGTTATTCTTCTCTTTGCTGCACCCACATCTGCATCCAAACTTAGCCACACACGAACTCCACACTCACATGCAGGTCGAATCACGTCTAGACCTACACCCGCAGGCATAGATAGACTCAGCCATACACATGCGATATTGATGTAATTTTTATAGTTCGACCGTTTGTACCTTTTTTTTGGTCTATTGAAATCAAACTATAGAGAGGTAACAGTTGCTGGTTTATCAAATTGGCTAATTAGCTATTGTTTGTATCGTGCATACGCCTATCAAAAAATAATCTCTTCGACTAATTCATTCTGATAGCCCTCTCCTTTATGCTATAGAGAGTAATCTTTCTGTTGATCTGAAAACTCAATAGATGAGTGAAAAAGTTGAAGCCTTGTAAACAAAACTGTTCCTTCGTATTCGTCCTTATCGTATTGACATAATTTTCCGTCTTCAACACTTTTTCGCATGCTACACTATTAAATTTTTTAAACTCCTACTGTTCTTCAACGTCACATATTTTTTTCGTTCGTATCATTTTCTCGTTCACAGTATACTTGCTGATAGTGCCGAACGTGATTTTACTACGGATATTTAAGTCATAATTGAATAGAAATCTCGCAGAAAGTCAAGGTAATTTTCCTTATTTGCTTTTCGTTTGAGCTTTCTGAAATCCTCGATGTATTTGTTTTAACATATTAGCTCAATGAGCATTATCGATAATACATTTATAGTTGTCTAGACTCTAATTTAACGATCTCAGATAGCTCAAACTAACAGGCAATAGGAAAAATTATCTTGATTTTCTGCGAAAGTTCTATTCAATTATTTTCTGTCTCGAAATAACATATTGAGCTGACAGTGAGTGTACCATTTTATTGTCGATGAAAATCAAAGTGATTCCATCAATGATTCTGGCTTATACGTTGATGATTTTTCAATTTTGAACCCAATGGAGGTCAAAGTACTCAATCTAACGAGTTTCATCTAATCTTCTCTCTCTCTCTCTCTCTCTCGTCTCTGAAATCATATCCTGAGATTTTTTACTCCAACCGTGTGTCTCATTTGTTTTTTTATTTTTTTTCACAATCCAAATCTCTGTATGCTGGCAGTCTACAGATCAAGTTTGAAAAATTTCTATCTTATTGTCTTGTTCCCTACTATTGCTCAAATTATTTGTTCTCTTGTTAATCTTTTATAAACAGATCGTCAACAGAAGCACAAATACAAATGTGGTAGATGACAGTTGACGATACACTTGACTGGGGAAGTGAAGAGAGAATGTTAAGAACAGCACGAGGGAAGAACGTAAGTGCATAGGAGCATCGTCTCATCATAGTCAGTGAAAGTATATTAAACCATGCAGTGCGATGCAAGAAAACGGTTGCATTGTGCCAAAATCAACATGTTTCATTAATCGAGTTCTCGTTTAAATCCAATCCATAGCAATACATTGACAAAAGAATGCTCCAACGTGTTGATATCTTTGTGTTGAATTGAAATGACAATGACCTATTCTTCACAACGTTTACCCATTACCTTGTTTACGTGGCAAGTGAGCAGTAATGCGATATAAGTGAAAATATACTATAGTCGTACGAAATGACCAATCTAGATTATAGTAGAAAACCAAACTTGCATTTTGTGCTCACAATTCATCAAAATAGAAGCTAAAAATTTTTTCATTATTTGGGAAACATTGCCCAAAAGTAATTCAAGAAATTGTCAAAGGCTAATTTTCTGTATTAATGTAAATGGTGACAATTTTGAACAAGCTCTGAAAAGTTTTCGCTTATGAATGAAATATTGAAACTATTTTCTAGCATCTAAGAAAATATACCTCATTTTTTTATGGCACGTTAAAAGATATTCACAATTTTTATTTTGAACCGAATTATAGAACATCCTGTATAGTTTAAATGTATATAAGTCTTTTTTTTCTTAAAATCTGAAGTGCAGTGGTGATTCGGGCGGCGATTGTGGTGGTGTAGAGTGAAGAAGCCATCGTACTACAAACAATGGTAATAAATAAATAATAGGATTTGTTGTGTTTTATATTCTTACCATTTTTTTTGAGCTCTAGATTTGCATTATATATAGCATTGATACTTTCCCAATCAGTGACATTGGCATTAGGCAATAGAACAAATTCCTTCGGTTGAGATTTTTTCCATTTGATCTTATGATCGAATACTAATCTGTCTGATTTGGCACTCAAGTCAGTCATCGCTTTAACAATATAAGATCGACTGCCAAGCGTAGAAATTAATGCTTTGGCATCGATTGGTTTGAGTGCATTCAATGTTGCTTGATCAACAATATTAGGCATTAAACCGTTGATATCGATAATGTCTTCGACAAATGTTTGGCACATATTGTTTGTACTAGCATCATACCTGTAAAAATTTTTGTCGACATTTGAGGCTGCAGAAATCAATCGATTAAGTGTTAATGGTTTATTTGGTGTTAGTGGAATATCATATACATCGATGAATTCATCGGGTATAGTTGGATATTTGAGAGCAATGCGCTGTGATTTCTCAAGTTTAAGAACAGTGCTAGCAGTTGCATATTGCGTGGCATTTCCAAGCATATGTTGTAGTACATGGGGTCCATGACTATTCTTAATAGTAATAAGTAAATAATTGTGATAGATTTCATCATAACCAAGTTCAAGTTGTTTATTAGTAAATTTCGAAAGGCTTAAGCAGTCAAGTATTTTAATATGAAAACCTTGAACAGGTGTGCGACCGAGTTGAATTTTTAGAATGAGTTCATCGCCTACTTTCTCCAATAGGTTTCTAACTCGCAATGGCATTTGTGGATTATCTTTTGCGGCGATAAGTTGCGATCCATCGTTCGGGAACTATGAATGAAAATTGGTCAATTACTTAAGATAACTGTGAGAATATAAAAAATTCTTACCCTTTCAAAAACTAAGTCGGCACCCAGCATTATTGTTTAGAGCAAAATCTATAATTGAATAACAGTTAGATTATATTACATGAATAATACTACGATAAATCTGAACGCGACGTTATGTACCAGGTAAATGATATTTGAAAAAAATGATTGAATGAAATAAATAAGACGTTTGTTCAAATAATTAGATTTTTCAATGCTAAGAGACTGCCTTGCTCTATGATGGCATTTGATTCTTTATAAGGCATCTTGTCGATAACTTGGCTGAATCAATTCATTTTTTAAAATACTTTTGAAGAAGATAATTGTTTTTGCTGAGAAAAAGATTGGGATTCTCATGTAATTAGATATTTACAATACTGTTGGTATTTGTAGTTAGCTTTAATACTATTTGTTCATTTTATTCTCTACGATAGTGATTAACTTCGTTATGGGAGCTATCGAAGTCACTATTTAGATATCTTCAGGTGATTGTGTTTGGTGAAAAGCTCTAAAAAAACTGCTTTTAAATGTTATTCATCACTATAATTCCACGAGAAAGAAAAAATTCTATCGACCTTTATCTTTATGGTCTGATGGCTGATGTTGCAAATGCATGCTTGATGCAGTAGGCCATACACTTGCTGATGTATCTTTTTTCTTCCAATCGTCGAGTGATATGCCATGCTGTCAATAGTAACATGTCACTTTATAATATTTTCTTTCTTCTATGTGCGTTTACGTATGTGTGTACTTTCATCGAGTATGTTGAAAAAAAAGCCTTCAACCAAACATCTGACTCAACGCTAACGAAATGTAATGCACTAATAACTGAACTAAATTAACGATAACACTTTTTCTATGATAAGAAGAGTTAATTCTAAGATGAATGCATCTCTCGAAATTGAAATTGCATTTATTTTGTAGACAGATTACAACTTTTAAAAAATACTCCATGGTTACAAGTAACTAATCGGAATAAAAATGGCAAATTAATTAAAAGAAAATATGTCAAGCATATGCTGTGTTCACCAAAGGACCAAATTTCATACTTTATTAGTAGAATTTACTTCAAACCATTAACAATGTCGTGAGTTAAAATATTATACAGTTATATATAATGATAAATTGAAGTATATTTTGCTATTTTTGCTGTACTTATCTCAAAATCGGATTTTACTTAGAATAGGATGCTTTGGTTCTATCACAAGCCGCAGGAAAAATTTAATGTAAGCAAGTGCCAATCGAAAAAGACGCATGCTAAAATTATTATCTGATTTTGTTTTCTCTATTAATGGCATATTTTTTCTCGAAAGATTACTATCGAATAATTGCGAACGAAAAAAATGAAAGAAAAACTGTACTAAATATAGTTTTAGCGTCTACTGGAGTACAGGTCTGGATCAACACAACCACGTGCATATTCTGCAGTTTCTTTCTGTGATTATGAATATGACATTTTTATTAAATAAGAACGTTTATAACTCGAGAAAAATAGGAAATACCTGAAAAATCATGATTTTTCCGAAAGTCTTCTGTAGGATCCAAGAATATTTTTGCTGATTATGGTGATAGAGAGAATGCGGAAGAAGCTTTTGGAAAAGTTCAAATAAGCGTCAAATTGGCATGTGAAGTCGGCGCTCATTTTGCTGACAGAGTCGTGTGAACAATGACAGTAGAGAAAAAGAGAATACTATTCTCAGAAAACATCAGTGATAATTGAACACTTATTCCTATCTATCGGTAGCGGACATGATAAAAATTTACGGTACATATTATTTTCAACTGTGACTTCAACAAATTCCGTAGAAAATGTATATTGTATGGATGGCGCTATTTTTTCCGCTAATTTTCAATCAACCGATAATCCATTCTACTTGAGTTTTGGAGCAAAATGTTTTTTTTTCGCTATTAAGAAGTCTATAGTTTAAAGGATATGTAAGATTGTTTGCATCTTGCAAAAAGAATGAAGAATAGAGAACAGATAAATACGTATTAAAAAGAATTTCTATTTTCATTAATTGAAAATAGTTCTCCATAATAAAGATGTTATCGTTTCACTCATTCATAGTCAACATAGTGCTTTAATAATGAATTGAACGATATCTGTTAATAAATATAGGATAAAATATTATGTATAAAAATACTTCTTTCTACTATCATATCGTTCTAAGCGTGATACTTTTGACCAATTTCAAGAAAAAAGACTTGAAAATCGCTATTAATTCTACTAGCATAAATGTCAATTGAAAGATAAAATTTATGTTCCGATATTAGCGCAAAAAACGAATAATGTTGAATATGGCAGATGCTTGATTTCACTATGTCATTGTCAAAGAAAAAAAAATCAAGTTCTACTTTTCATGTCAGTTTAGTGTAACGCTGACTTGATTGGATAATTATCATAATGAGTAAGACTTCATTCACGCTCTATTTTTATGTAGTCACGAAATAAGACCAAACGAAGATTATAGTAACAGAATATTCTATTATTGCTTATTATCAACATGAGTCTTTTTTATTTCTAATTTTACTTTTCATTGATTTTATTTTTCAAATATTCAATTCTCAGTATAGACTATTAGATAGAGAAAGTCTTTCTTTACAAGTTTGCATGTATTTCGTTCTGTGGTGAGAACCTTATACCCGCGTTTTACACATACTAAGGACCAAAGAAACAGTCTAATGATTAATATGAAAATTGAGACAATTTTTCTTTATCTATAACATTCTTATTATCTTATAAATATACTTATTAAACTGATCTTTTTCGGTATTTTTTATCATTCGTATGTCGAGATTTCGTGCTATTTTCTTGATTTACTGGCATCTTGTGGTGCTATTCTAATTCTATTAGATTTTTTATCATTAATATGCTATATTTATATAATTCGATGATTACTCATAAATTATAACTCATTTATATTTCGTCTTTCTTTGCGTATATTAGTAAAAAATTTTATTTTCGGCGTACTTTGTTCTATGTTATCAGTGAAATGTTATTCTCTCTTTTTGCTTCGTGTAGAAAGGACGCGTTCCGTTATCACTTGCGTTACTTGTGACGTCTTCCTCTCTACGTCTGCAAAAGAGTAATAATGACAGAAGCAATATCTACTTATCCAAATAATAATCATCCTACAACACTACAATATCAAGAACAACAAGACACTATTTCAGATGAACAAATAGAGCGATTTTCTAGGTTTGTATTAAAGCTTTCGGAAGCAGCACTGAATATGCATAAATTAAGCATCTCCAAAGAACTATTCTAATCAACGACAATAACTCAATCGCCCCATCAATTCCACTAGATGATAGTGGAGAGTCTATGAACAATGGAAATGGTCGACATCAACATTCTCGAAAAAGATTTCAAAAAAGTAAAGAAAAGTACATTCATGATGCTCAACCAGAAATATTACAACCTAGACAACAGTCGTTTTCGCCGCCATCGTCTAATTTTCGACAAGTCTCAAATCAAAATGCAAGTCAACAGATACGGATCTCCTTCGATCAGTCTAAGCACGCAGTTTCACCTAATCTGCTCTGCTTTCATACAGGATTTACATCAGATCTGAGTCGTAATAAGGTTCCATCAGCCACATTTGCGAGTGATTTAATTTTCATAAAATTGCGAACGCACGGAGTTACAACTAATCAATATACTTTGGTTGGTTAGGTAAGTAAAAAATTAAAGCTAGGTGCGAATAAGACAAACAACTATGCCACTCTCGTCGCAACCGATACATCGTCTGTTAAGGTCAATGAAATCGATGTTGTAGTTATAAAACAGAAATGCCTGCTAGCCTCGTTCGCGCTCGTGATTCGTTGCGTGTCTCGTGAACTAGATGAAGATTTTGTTGTTAATTAGATACAACGGACTATTGCATCTGCAGAACAGATAAAACGAATTTAGTATACCTATCAAAGAAAATCAAATGATTACCAGTTTGATGTTAAAGATCATCAAGAATACAAGCTCACTATAAAACTTGGTCGTATTGCAATCGGCTACTCATAGTTATCGATTAAGCCATTTTCCCCTTAGTAACCATTTAGCATACTGCATCAAATATAGATGCATAGTTCACTTAAAATTCAAATGTTACTTACCTGCTAGATGTCGAGTATGTCTTGAAACTTTCACGAATAACTCCCCAATGTATGCAATAATGAATCAAAATGTGCTCTATGCAATGGAAAACATCATTCTCTTGACAGTGAATGTTTCGATTTGCCAAAAAGGAACACGCACCTTCCTCTGAACTCCTTGAAAACTCTTAGACGAGTGGTATTCATATAGAATCCTGAACTGAGTTTTACAGCAGCGAGAAAGCCTCGAAATAGTCTCTCACAATATTCAAAAAGAAATTTTGAAGATATTGTGTTATAATGTTCAAGGATGGAGCACACATGCACTTTGAGTAATTGAATTAGTTTTTAAAGTCGAAGTCTCTGTGGGTACATTTACAGAAGTAGGAAAGCTATGGAGCAAATATGAATTCTACACTTTAATAGATCTTATCAGTGCGGTACTAATTGAAGTGGTGGAGTATGCATAGCAGTGTAACAGCATGTGAAGACAACACGTATCGAGATAGACATACCGAATACAGTACAATAGTCAATAACATGATCTGGAGGATATTAATTTGTATATAGTAGAAGATACTATGATAATGGGTGAATTTAATACTACAGTGAACCAATGGAATAGTCGACTAACAAATGAAAGAGAAGCAAGTGTGATAGAATGGATAGAAGGGAACAACGTCTGTAACATACCACCCACTTCATACATATCAAAACGCTCCCTACGCAATATAAATTTATCATTCTCAAATATCACTGCAGTTTGATATGAAACATTGAAGTTCGGTAGCTTTGATCCCCAGGTCAATAGGACTCTCATGTGAAAATATTTCCTTTAATATCAGCATAAATTTTCTTGTACGGACTGGAAGGTATTTGAAGCCGTATTAGTGTTACTTCCAACGTTCTGAACAGAAGAACAAAAGAAAAATAGTGCAGATGAGGGATACAAACTATATGTTCGCCTTATCACTTCTGTTAGGACCAGAATGACGTAGTCGAAAGAAAGAGAAAAATACAGGTCATTGTTACCAAGTGGTATTGTATAGAAATTGAAAGAAATAAGAAAAGTGAGAAATAAATATTATCACCTTGAAGAAAAAAGAATTCAGTATGAAGAAGCAAGGATGTTATTGCGAGTCTTAAAAAGAAAATTGAGAGCTGTTATTGTAAAATATAAGGCTGTTTGGTGAAACAGTTTCTTATGGAACATTCAAATAACACACAATAAAATAGATAAAGCCTTCTGAGCACACCTATCTTGTATTTACAAATCACATTCACCACCCTTGTACAAATTAACTATCGGAAGTAAACTACTGTCAACACAACAAGAAATTACAAATGAATTGAGTCAATGTTACGGAGAAAAATTTCGTTCAGCTTTGATAGATCACTCCAATGCACATGATGTTAGAGTAAAAACCGAATATAACGAATTGATGAATAATCAATGGACTACAAAAGAGCAGATGGAAGAAACTAGTACTGATGTAATTAATAGATTAATAAGAACATTGACGCCGAAAAAGTCGGCAGGACTTGATTCGGTGTCACATAAGAACCTTAAATAAACTGTAATCAGGCAGTCCGAAATGTAATCAAACCAGGCCAATTTTTTATTAGTTATAAATTCAAAACTTTTCGAAAAAACTCTGCTTCAAAGAGTTAGACGATGGACCGAAAGTAATCATTTAGTGCTTCATGAGCAATCAGGATTTTGTCCAAACTATCTTTTATCCACTAAAGTACTATTAATTTAACAGGAAATGAATAATAATATGGCTTCTAACTTACCAATACTTGTTATGTATGTTGACTATCAAAAGGCGTATGACTGAGTATTGCATGTCGCCCTTTTGTTCCAACAAGGTAAATTCGGCATGCCACTCGAGCGACTGAAAATGATAGAAAACTGGTTAAAGGATATGAAAGCTTATGTAATGTTTGATGAAAAAATATCAGATGTTTTCTATATAAATATACGACTTTCACTGGAAACTAGTCTCAGTCCCTACTTGTTCATTGTCTTTCACTGTGATCTAATCAATTATCTGGAGATCCATTCTTGTCACGTTTTCACTGATGATCTGATGGTACTGATTAAACTCCCTCTAATGAACAAATCAATCACAATAATTCAGTATCTGGAAAAGAAAGGCACCCAAATTTGTAATCAAGTATAATCCTGCTCAAAGAATTAGAAAAAACCCTATAAACATATCTAAAACCATTGCACAGCTATTTCGAAAACAAATCAGAAGACCAAAACTAAACATTAAAATGAACAGAGAAAACATTGAATTGGTTAAAGAATTTAAGCATCTAGGATTTACATGTGCGGACGCACTGCCCCTGAAACACACAGTTGACAAGTGTATAGGAAATATTCAGAGATCTCTAGGAAAACTGATATGGTGAAAATCTGGACGTAATATATCCTCGAAGGTACTTCGTCAATCTTTCATTGTGTATACTCAAAGAAGATTGATAACTATGCATTTTAACAATTTTGGATCCTCACTTTTCTATAATGACATCTTTGTTTAGGATGAGTTTCACAAAAGAAAAACCTATCACCTCGATCATTTTATTTCGTGGACGTTGTGTAAAACAATTGTTAGATCGACATGAATCGTATCTATTAAAGGGGCTGTTTTTTATAGAAACGAATTAATAGGAAGAAAAATGATACAATATAATGTATCTCTCTCTCTTTCTTTCTTTTCATTTTTTTTTGCTGCCTCTTTTTTTCTCTTCACTGGCTTAATCTCTCTCCTTTTTATTTTTTCGGCTGTTCTTTCTCTTACCCGTATATCTCTGCTTTTTATCTACGTGATAATGTACGGTTACTAGTTATTAACGAGCCCCTTAATACCCTTATTAGCGTGTATAAATAGTCGTCAATATTATGTTAGTGCCTAATTATGGAACGCTGTGCATAATTGATGTCGTTTCCTGCTTGAATACTTTCATCTCTTTTTCAATCATCATGCAAGCACTTCCGAGTATGGCATTATCAAGCATAATTTTTGAAAAATGAGTGGAATATGTTAAGTGGCTGTAACTATCTTCTTATAATTAGTTGTTATTTTTTGTTATTAAATTTACTACGCAACTCATATGATACCAACAATTGATAATTGTTCAAATAAAAGCGAATCAGAATAAAAATAACGTTAGTTACAGTCAATGAATAAAAGATGAGATCAAGATTGTACTAGGAGAGATCAACGACACAGTCGTGATTAACATTTAAAACGATCAATGAATAAATCGCGTTCTATCATATGAATTTGTACGAATATCATTAGAAAATCGACGATCAATGGCTAATCTTTTTTAATTTCAAGGAAATGTCAAGGATACTTGTTAGATCCATATTGTGAAATAGAAATCTTTTCAATGGAATACAAAAAACGTATATGAAAGCACTGTATGTGATAGCAATTGATTAATATACTGCATAGTTGATGTGAGCAATCTCATTCATTTACCATTGGGCCATGAATAAGCAAAACTCGATTGGTATTATGTACTATTCAGACAAGTTTCATGCAATGTTGCAAGGTACAATGCTTGTGACCGAACCACTTGTAATCACACATAAACAAATCAGACTCGTGAGAAGTTTGCGTTTTCCCACTTATTCAGTGCCCTAGCAATTTTCAGTATGCTAGTTTTTTCAGTCCACTTTGTATTCGTAGACACCTGCTCTTTGTATTGCTAGTTAGTTTTACATAGGTTAGTCAATAAGTTCTTGGACTTTCAAATATTTATTCATAGAAAAAATATTTTGCTAATCTTTTTACAGTAAATGTTCAAAGTAGTCCCCACGATGTTCAATACAAAGTTTCATCCTTTCAATTCACTCCTGGAATGTCTTTCGATATTCTTGAATAGATATTAAATTAAGCTCGTTGGTTATTGCTTTAGCTAAACTTGTAGCATCTGAATATGTATCAAGGCTGTGTTTCAGACAACCGAACAACCGAAAGTCTGAAGGAGCACGATCAGGTGACTACGGTAGATGAGTCATAACTTTCATTTTTTCCTCTTGAGGATAATAAAGCTTGAGAACATATATCTTGAATATGTGATGTCGCAATTTTATAATGCAAATTTATGCTACTTGTTTTTGATGATGTTTTTTTCTTATGTAAATTTTTGACTTAAATCTTCAAGTATTTATCACGATAGTTTATATGATAATTGTGTCTGAGATGGTAATAACATAATCAAAAACAAGTAGCATNTCAAAATGACTTTATTTTACCATCAAACGATTCCTCGTGAAATTCTGCATCTAGTAAACTATGAACCAACCGAAATTGACGGGGGCCCAAAAATGGCCCTTATACGCCCCCATCCTTTATCATCAGAAAATATGCTTTTTTTCTATCGTTCATCACTCTTCTTGATAATATTATCGGATAGGTTTGCTATTGTAGAGACTTTAAGTTTCTACAAAATGATGAGTTACATTAATAGATTATAACCCAAAAGAATCAAAAGCTATAATCTTTTTTCAAACAGTTACTGATTGCATTTTTTCAAAACAATGACGCTTTTCGAATTTCGGCATTTAAAATGCAACATACCTCGATCATATGTAGCAGAATGCAAAAATAAAAGCAAATTGGGTATTTTATAGAGCGAGTTTCGCTCTACAAACTAATGGAAAAACGGAATTTTGGGTGACTTGGATTGAGACACTTTTAATCAAAATACACGAATGGACTGCATAAAATATTTTGTCCAAAAGCGGTTGTTTACCTACATGAAGGAATGTGGGTATGGATGTGAATAGTCTAATCGATGTTTCTGGTCATCCCCACATCCCACTCACACCCACATCCATACCCAAATACTTGGAAAAAAAGAATAATCTAATATCGAATTATAACATAAAAATTTTAGCAATCCAATGATAAATTGAAGATTGGTTTGTTTATTTTACAACAGTCATATTTTATAGTGTACTTTCTCGTATATATCTATGCTTTTCATGGTTATCTAGTTAGTGGGAATTTCAATTTCATCAATAAGATTTATTTCAGTTTAAGAGAAGTATCACACATCACTCAGCGTTAACCGTTGATAGTTTAAGGACTTCAAAATATTAGTTATTTTGTTATCTGAAAATTCGATTTCATGAAAAATTGGTTAAGTGGCTCTTTGAATAAATTTTCTTTCAATTAAAATATCATAATACAATTTCGTGTGTTTCAAAATAATATAAAAAAAAAGTCTTCAATTAATAAATCAGCATGCATTCGTTGGTTTAAATTTAGATTCTATTGCACAACATTGTCAAAAGCAATATAAAACGACAAAGGAAAAGAGAAAGGCATCGTTTTGATTTCTTCTCGTTTATACTTTAAAGATCTTTTCAATTTTATCATCCTGCCAGCACATTGTAACATGAGTACGATCAATCCATTTAAGACTAACTTGTTCCATTGGTGATAGTATCGAACGATCAAGTCGTTGAGCATCATGTCTTGAACTAAGATGAAGTGCATTTGATGAGCCAAAAAATGTATTTGCCGATGTCTGTAGAAAATAAAATAAATTTAAAAAAAAACAAAAACAAAAGAAGAATCAAAACATGAAAGAAAAATGTTTACCTGCCAAAAATATAATTTTCCTTCGTAACCTGAATACGAAGCAAGATATTTTCCATCGGTTGAAAATTCTACACACGTAGTTATTTCAGTTTTTGGTAGAACTTGAGATGGCTAATTAAAAGGAGAAACTATTGAATATTGACAATTGACATATTATAAAATTCTTACTTGACATTTTGGCGTTTTTAAATCGTATAAAGCAAGAAGACCAGTTTTTGTGCCAACACATAATTTAGGTGAGCCGTGACAATAAGTTACTGTTGGATATCTAAAATAAAGAAAATTTATTCAGCTAAATAGATTTTATTCATGAATAGTATTTCTCGGAATCAGTAAATGAAGTGAATCTAATTTTTACAAAAATCTATTTGTTCAGAATTCGATCTAGTCATACTACTGATTTTTCTTCAATTTAGTTTCTAGTTTTTGCTTGATTGAAACATCGAAACTACATAAAAGTACATGTACATTTTGTGCTCGATTACAATCGAGCATTATGTTTCGTCTAACAAATTTAAAAAAATTGGAACATACTGTATTCGTTACATAAACTATATCACTGTTGAGAATTTCAAGCACTATCGTTTTATGATAAGAAGTGTTGTAATCAAAGAAAACACAGATGAGACTCATGTCGTACTACAAACTGTATATCGAATTGGATCGCCTATTAAATGATAGCTACTAGTTAATGGTTGAACGACCGGGACTTTTTGTAGAGCTCACATATATTTTCGAAGAAAATAATGAGTGTAAATTTTAAGCCAACGTTTTGGCGGCTCCTTCTCTCCCTATTACCGACCATAGCAACTGAAGAAAATAGGCGTCAGGTTTCTTAAGGTTTTTTTTCGAAAAATTGATGATACTATAATTTTGAAAAGTAATAACAAACTCTTTGTTAGACATGAAGAATTTCGTGAGGTCTTTGTTGTAGTGATCGATTATTCTGAAAAACACTAGTCTAAAGGATATTTTTTGACATTACATATTTTATTTTAGTGTAATGAGATTCAAGAGCCTATGTGAGTTTCACATGTCAGCTCCATAGGGCTGCGCTGACAAGCTTTTTCTCCGGTTCTAGCCACACAAGTAAATTTTGAAAATTCAAACAGTATAACTAATTATTTTGTCGATTACTCGTTGATAATCAAAATAAGTTGTCTACATATTTTTTGCAAGACTTAAACGTCTGCATAGGATTAATTGTCAGATTCTGCCTATTTTACTCACACTGTAAAAAGTCAAATGAATGAATATTCCACTAAAAGAAAATAATCAAAAGTCCGGTGTTTATTTTTTCATACTTTAATAATAATCCAAATGTTTCTGATACAGCTTGAACACCTTTATGTCGAAGAATATTCAAATCAATACAATTCAAAGTAATATCAATAACCTATAAGTAAAGAAAAAATAATTATTTGTTTTTATTCGTGTGTTCTATTCTACTTCAAGAATTAAGTCTTCAATATCTTGTGGACATTTTTCAATAAGAATTTGAATGAGATGAAGTATTCCAAGTTTATGTTCATTTTTAAGTGTTATTGATGTTGGTGATGATGTTGTTCCAGATTGAACAAGAGCATATTTAGCTATTTCACGTGTAAGTGTCGTTATAACTACACGTGAACGAGACGTTGCAATTAAATAAAGGGCTGTTCGCGCTGTTAAACAAGTATCAGTTTTTGGTGTTAATACTCCACCATGTGCACTAGAACGAAGATTATTATTTTCAATACAAAGACAAAATAAAGATAACATTAGGAAAACAATAGATGCATATGGTTTTAAGCAACAAAATCTCTAATGACAAACAAATCAAGTAATCTCAGCACCTTCGATATTAACACTACTTGCTCATATAAACATTAGATTACCTCAAATCATTGTTGTCGTTCAAAGATTCATTATCAGAAATTAGACAACTTACTTGTTTGTCGTTTTTGCACTATCACTAATAGAACATAAATCAAATAATGTTAGTAATACTTGTCCAATATCTAAATAGGGTTCCCATGTAGTATAACCATGACCGATAAGATCGATTGCTGTCCGACGAATAGCAGTGTGCAATGGAATATGATCGAAATTAGATGAAGATAAAAGACTTGCTAGAATATGACCTATAATCAGTAATAGTTACATTAATAAAGACTTGTAACATATGATCGAGACTAACAGATAGACTTCGAAAAAGATCATTATAACCTATAGTAATAATCATACTTCTTCGTAATATCAGTCTTGTATTTCTTTTATTATTGAGTACTAAAATACAACACGAGATTCCAAGCCTATATCTCATGCAAAAAAATGATTATCTACGTCGATCATTTTCTTTTGATATCTCTCATTTTCATCAACTTTTGTGTATCATACTTATTATAAAATTCCGATATATTATCATTTAGTACGTGAAGTTTTATAACAGTTCTTTGTTATTGCGTAGGGAAATTCGACTTTTTTTTGTTGTCATTTTTCTTTCTTCAAGAAATTTCAAAAGAAAATCCTAACACAACTCATGAACGATATCCCTGTATTCATGTGTTTGGTTAAATTAAAAATAATTCTTCAAGAATTAATATTATATTCAAAGTTCAACTGAAATATTCTATCATATTTTGAACAATCTCTTACTCAAATTTAAAATTATTTCTGGACTTTCAACTGAAAATCCTTTAATCGTAACTGATGATTGTTTTGCATGTTCAACTTCTTGTCCATATCGTGCACAGATAATACCCATAAAAACAATAGATAGTAATTGTTGTCTTTTATATTGTTCTTTCATTATTATTGTTGTTGTTGTTGTGTCATTATTATCTTAAAGCAAGCAAAAAAATTAATAAATAAATGTTTTTACTTTTGAAATTTCTTACAAGCGGTATCATCAAGAAGTATATCTTGAATATTTGGATCATGTAAAGCTCCATCAGTTTCTTTATTATATGACTGATGAAATAAATTCGACCATTTCGAAATCAGTATATACCATGCATCATTATCGTTATGTAAATGATCAATTTCTTTTTCTAATAATTTTCTAGCAGCATCACGTAACTTTTTTTTTTGAAAAAAGAAAGAAAAAGAATAGAAATAAGATAAGTGAATTTATTTCTAAGTATACTTCTAAACATAAATCTTGCCAATGTGAACATAAGATTTCTATTGATAATGATTGAAAAATATTCGTTTGACATTGTTGAGGCATATTTGAACAATAAAATTCTAATAATTTACTCCAGTTTTCTCGTTGTATTAACTAAAAATTATTTTCTATAGACAAAAACAAATTTATTAAAAATGATTCCTCTATTTACAAGTGCTTCTTCATCTTGATCATTTGATCTATATATAGAATAAATATATATAAGTTAATAATATTTGATGAAAAAGTATGAATTTACATATTATTTATCCAATGATTACAATTCATTAAAATACAGACTAATGTTATTGAACTTAATAAATGTTCGGTATTCAGAATTGTAGAATACTTTCATCGCCATTGATATACATAAGTATCAATTCGTTCTTGTTTGCTAAAATGATTATAAACGTAAATTTTAATCTCTATTTTTCAATAGATTTGTCTTGAGAATCAAAACAGATATACTTATTAAGAATTCGAATTTAATGTTCAAGACTATAGATTTTATTCGACTGATTTTCTTAATCAGAAAAATAATATTTCTCTCAAAATTGACTAATCTTGGAATAGTCTCCTGATCAGTAGATACACTTTACTATCATTGTACCTAATCCTCCAGCAATTTAATTTGTATGGTTTCAACCATCACAGTCTGTTGAACAGATTGCAAATTTTGATCCTTACACGTCAATGCTCAATTTAAATCGTATTTCATAAAATGATATCGATGTAACAATAATGGTACAGTTTGTATTTAGTGTTTTCTCTGGGCCATTTTTCATTGTAAAGGATGTGGGTGTGGGTGTGGGTGTGTGGGTGAAGTGTGGGTGTGAGTGTGGGTGTGGGTGTGTGGGTGTGAGTGTGAGTGTGGATGGGGTGTGGGTGTGAGTGTGGGTGTGGGTGTGGGTGTGGGTGTGGGTGTGGGTGTTGGTCTTGTCTTTATTCACATCCGCACCCACACCCCACACCCCACACCCTTTTTCAACAATAAAATATTTCATTCCGAAGCATTATCTTTATTTTTCTTTGATGTGATGACTCATCTATGGACAACTTATTTTTTTTATATTTATTTTATCGTATGTTCTAAATTTCAATCTTTATCTATCTATATGAATTGCTCTTAGTATTGATCCATGGTAAAATACTTGTGTAGCTATTGAGGTAGCAATGACTATTACACAAAGAATTTGTTTTAATAGGAAAAAGAAAAGAAAATCAATAACTAAGTATCGCATGTTTATAATTCTTTTCTTTATATTTGCCATAGTATTTCACGAGCCTGTTCATCGACATTTGATCAATCATGATAATGAAGATAAAAAAAACGAATCTGATGTTTTGTTACTTATTAAGGTGCTTTTCAATTGCATATTTCATGTTTTTTAGTTCCATCTATCATCAATCTGATTTCAAATATTTTCATTAAAACAAAATATGCGAACAATTTTAAAAACAAAAAAATCATTTTAAGTTGACTTTTATTTTTCATTTTAGTTTCGTCAAGTGTTATTATTTATCTTGTTACAAATTGTATTGAGGCAGCTGATGATTTAGAAATATTTCTCGTAGGAATTTTATGTTGTTTAGTTCATCAATGTTTTCTTTTTTTCTGATTTTTTTCATGATTTAAATTATATAAAGAAGAGCTTTTTAAGATTGTTAAAAGATATAAAACAAAGATGATAGTTCGATTAAATCGTATCATAACGAGTAGGGCAAGCATTTTCTCCCCACATCCTGTTTTTCAAGACGCGATAAGGTGACCGTGTTTTCTAAGAAGTCCTTTTTTTTATGAATGGATAATTAAGCTTAACTTTAACATAAGTTTAAGTTTCATTTTCTGACTAACTTATGCTTAGCCTGAATTTGAAGCAAAACGCTGAAATTTTATGCTACAGTCAAGTTTAGTTTAGTTACCTATTCCTAGCTTTTGTGTTCGATTTATGAAAATGATCACATATTATCACATTCTTCTTGTACACTAAAATATTTCACTCTTTTCTATCCACTTTCTTTAACCTTGCAGGTTTTATTTGTGACTATTACAATTATCCAAGTTTTTGTGGATTTAATCCTTCACCAGTTGTAGGTAATGGTTTCGTAATTTGTAATACAAATGAATGCTCATTCAAATAATTTGTACCACTTAAGCAATCATAATTAAATGTTTTTTTGATAAATATAGAAGTTCACACAATCTTGAATTCGTTTCCATTCACCAATTATTATTTTTTATTTCTGGAAATCTAAATGCTTTCCAAAACACAAATTTTAAAATCATCGTCTTATTAGTGATTAGTTCATGTATGCTGATCTCATTTTTTAACAAATGTCTGATTTTATTTGAGGAATATGTCAATGTTGTGGATAACGATGCACGAATAAGTTGTTTCACATGAAGATGAAGCAATTTCCGAAGACGACATGTTTGAAAAAAAACACGAAAAAGAAGATATAGAAGTCTAATCTATATTTAGAACAGTATGGTGTTTCAATTAAGACAAGTTCAACCTATTTACTTAATTCCGATGAAAATACTAAAAAAAGTTGAACCCATAATCCAATCAACATTTGGTATAAGGATTTCTTTTTTTATAAAGAATAATCAGTAGCGATATCTTTCGAGTCTGCAGTTTTAAGTGAAAATCGACAATTTCAGGTCAATTCCTACAGGGCAAACTCCTGGATCATTTATCATGTTCTGTTATGGGCGCTGATACCAAGGTTAGTTTCGTCTCAATCAATTAATTTTTTCTTCTCCAATAACGAAAAATGATTTTTATAGTTCATATCAATAAAAAAACGAGGCTTTTTATTATTTTTTAAATATCAGGATTGATGATTACCGATATTTAACTGTCACGGGTTCGTTTTTGCAAAAAAACAGAGCAAATCTTCGCATTATTTATGAACAGATGAACTTAGCGGAAAGTTGTTTTAAAACTGCTTCCTATTTAGGCGTAGATGTTGCTGGGTATGGGTGTTGATATGGTTGTTGGTAGGTGTGTCTATTAGTATAGAATTGTGGGCACGACTTCATATGTCACCCAAACTACTATGGAAGCCTTCTTTAACTATTAAACTTTCGAATTCAAGTATTCACACATTCAATTTGTCCCTCACTAGTTCCCCGTCTAGGGATAAGTTGAATACTTGAATAGTCTAATATTTGAATTGTTAAATGCTTGAAGCAAATCGTTGAATAGTTGTATAGGTGAATACTTTATATTCAACCTTTCATACTTCAAGTATGGAGCTATTGAATAGAACTTTCAAGTATGACAAACATGTTTTCGTATTAGTGGGATGTAGAGAAACAAATTTTGCTGCTCGCATTTGCAGTGTGCTTATAAGCACATTTACTTCGAAATTTTCAACATACGTCAATAGTGAAATACTCGATAATGTGGTCTTTGTTGGTTATCGCCGCCTTTTTTTGCCCCATTGCCATCACTCAAGGTGAACATTAAGATAGCGATTACTCATTCGATCATAGTCTTTTCTTTGATAGAACAAGCATTAAGATATTCATCTAGCTGCTCAGTACCACTATGCAATAGTGCATCCTCATCGGGTGGTACCTGTCCTACATCACCGATCTGCTATCAATTCAAGACATCGATCAATACCACCATGTGTGCTCCTCAAGTTAATTGTTCTCTATTCGATCCATGTAGTGATAATAAACGATGCTCGACAAATATGAGTGTTTGCGTTATCAATAGTTGTTGCTTGGCACCCATTTGTATGCCAATAGCCATTTGCAGCCAATGCAATGCACAGAATGCCACCAATTTAAGTAGGTTGTTTTTGAAAGATTTTGTGTGTTAATGATCTCTTGGCGTGGTTAAAACGAGGCTAGATGTTGTCCTATTTTTTTATTCAACTAGTTCAATTGTTAATTGACCGACAGTAGTAAAATTTGAAGAATGTCGATGACAGCTTCTGAAAAATAGTGGGAATAATTATATCCAGTATAATAATAGTTTTCAGTTGATTGATTATCAAGGGTTGTGAATTTTGCATTTGAGTAGGTTAGTGACAAAATATTGCAACATCTTTACTCAGGTTTAGTAGAGTAGACTGATTTTTTTGTTCGGTTATAGAGGGGCATTGAAGGTTATTTTCATAAGTAAAACACAGAGAAAAATCTGAATTGAGCCAATACTATTGGCTTCAATAAGTCTACAAAGTCTTGTACTAATAGTTCGAAAAGAAGTTATGTGTTTGCATGAGAACATTAATTCGTTGCATATGTTGTTTTATTCAAAACAAATTTGTATAATGGACATTCTTTTATCTTTCGGACAACATCAGCCAAATTAGATAGATAGATAGAAGATGATGAAATTAAAATGATTTTCGTCTTAAAATTAACTTTAAAATGCACGGTGCGTAACACTTTTTGTCACAATTTGCTATAAGCTCACATGTTTTTACCGAAGCATATAGTAGCGACACCACTCAAGTTGTTAGGTATGTTTCTTATATGAAAAACAACATTTCTCATGATCCTCTATCACCAATAAAAATCAGCTCATTCGATTCAAATACATTGAAGATATCCAGCTTTTTTGAAATCGGATGGGATTGTTGGTAGATGTGATGGATGTTTTTGAAATACTTAAAAAACCCTTTTTCCAAACCATAAGCGGAAAAATCGTTTATTATCTTCGTCATATACGATAAAAAAGGGTTTATGCCCCCGTGGTAAACTGAGCATCATTTTTTCGTTTATTATGGAATCAACACCAGTTTTTCCTTTTCTTATTCTCCAAATTTTTTTCAGCGTACACAACATATTATCAGATGTGTAAAACTTCTTCTCAACTAAGTTATTGATATGACAAGAATAGCCAGCTGATGATTTGTGTTAGTCTATCAATAATAGTGGACCTATAAATAAATCATTTCAGCAAGAGAATAGCGTAAAGAGTAATTATCTGTAAAGCTCATACTCAATATGAGAATGACTGCTGGAAAATTGATTCCATTTACCAAGATTTCTTCTAAGATTGACTACGCCAATGAGTGTCACATTTAGTTTGACTTTGCTGACCACAGGTCACAATGTGTGACATAAGATTATCAGAGAACAAAGTAGTGCTAGAAAGCGCTGAATAATAACATATCAAGAATAAGTTCACTCTCGCGGCACTAGAGTATATTGATGACTGAAAAATCAAACCGAATGCATAAAATTCTGTGCTAGATGTTAGATACTATCTCGACTTTTTGTACAAAGAAAAAACGAAATCGATGGCAAAATCAACAGTTAACTAAATGCAATCTTTTTTTCTAATACGCGAATTACACTTTCCAAAACGAACCGTTCTTCATGGGTTACAGTTCTAACACGATAAATTAAGGTGTTGGTGTGGGAAGTGGGTATTGGTCTGGTCTTCACTCAGACCCACACACCGTCGCCTATACCCACAATTTCACCTTTATCTACCATACCCACTCACCCAAAAACGTGGATGTGGATGTGAAAGAGCGTGAGTGACTAGATGAGAGTGAACGTGACACCACCATACCGACACTTACGTTGGATGTTGGCGTGGGCTGCAAGTGTTGATGTGGATGTCTCCTCTTGAGTTTCATCTAACCTTACTGGGGTATGAATGTCGACTATGGATGTGGCTCAAGGGGGAAACATCTGCATCCACACTTGCAACCCACGCCTACACTTAACTTAAGTATCATTACGGTAATATCACATGAAAAAATGCCTCTGCAAATATGGGTGGTGAGTGAGATTGTAAGTGTGCGTAATGGTAAAGAAAAATACCTCACCTATACTCAGACAGTCATCTATCTACACGTCGCACAGATGCTTTCCTTCATTCAACTACTTAGCCATCCATACTCACTCAGACCTTCATCTACTTAGGCCAGCTTGAAAAATTCTATTTACCAAAATGATCACCTCAGGTTGATCTACAAACTTTGATATGAGAAAAAAAAACTCATAGAATCTTTTATTTTACTGATTACCTGATTATGAAAGCATCCAATTTCACTCTTTATTTTCCAAAATTTTTAACAATTTATCGCCAATATTCCGTCTTTAGATTAGCACTTATAAACATGAATAGCGTATTAAATAGGTTTTACCTAGTGTAATATTCACTTCTTTTGGGGTGTATGGTTATGAGCGTTGATGCGGGTATAGATGCTCTGTTGACCTACATCCACCTAAGTATTTTCAAATCTAAAAATAACTAACTTTATGTAAACGTAATAACTGCTACAGCCACAACTACGACTGCAAGTACGACAAAAACTATGAGTGCATCTACGACTACAACTACAACCACGATGACAACAGGTACTCGAGTCATTCTTTCTTCTCAATTGTGATTTCAAGCAATGAATTCATGTTTCAGCTCTGTACACTTGTTCGAATTTTACAGTCACAACAAATTGGGATTATCCAGGGAATGATATAGCAAATACAGAACCAATGCCCTTTAGTGTTTGTTGTGCATGGTGTTCGGCTATATCCTCGTGCAAAGCATTTGTTTTCCGTCCTAGCTCATCTACATGCTGGATAAAAACGACATCAGGAGACCACAGTGGTTCTGCATCGGATAGAATCAGTGCGCGACTTTGATCTTGGAGTAAAAATGACTATTCATGAATATACCCGTTTCTTGAAAAAACAGAAAAATATATTATACTGGTGATTATCTTCATAATATTTAACAGAGCAAGATATCATATTGTTGCCAAAAAAAGATAATAAATTATATTCTTCCAACATGCTATAAATAAAAACGAATATCAAACCTGAGATCTATTTAACAAATGTTGATCAGGGACCTGGTTTAAATCACTTGTTTGCAGTGTTCTGCCCTTAGAATCGATTTAAGCGAAAGAAAAAACGACAGCACAAAAACATCTAGACTAAAATTGATTTTTCAACAGAATCATTTCAAATCTCTCCTAGCCATGCTAAAAGTACTTAGAATATCAAACTCTACAGTTCCTATCAGTTTTTAACTGATTTAGACATAGCCAATATAATTTTAGTAGGTCTCCCAAAGAAGCACCCAACATATATCGATATGATGGATGACCAATCAATATGTCGAGCAAATTGAAGAATATGACTATCAGTCATCGTTAAAAACCGTATTGGATTCGCCCGATTTATCATTTCTTAACCCTGGCTACGGTCATAAAAAAAAAAACATTTCGGTTGTGTCAAAAATTACTTTCGAGATAAACATATGAACATGTTCGCTGATTCGCATAGTCTACGAATTGATAAAAAGAATTATAACTTTCGAAGGTATTAGAGGATTTGATGATTGATCTTTGAAAGTGTGTGGACAAATGGTGTGGGGTGTGGGTGTGAGTGTGGTAGTTGTGACAGCAGAGAATACCCACACCCACACCCACACCCACACCCACACCCACACCCACACCCACACCCACACCCACACCCACACCCACACCCACACCCACACCCACACCCACACCCACACCCACACCCTTATAGTGTACTTTAAAACCGAAAATTATGACCACTTTTTTCTATAACTGTTAATTCATAATAATTAATATTTAATTATTAGAACCAATAGTTTTGCAAAAATATTTATACCAACATGTAGCCCGTTCAATACTGGATCCAATGATATATTTTTGAAACGTTTTCTGTTCTTCAACAACGGCAAAATCGATAAAATACAAAAAGTGCCTTCAAATTTTGTCCGCTGAACAAAAACCGTTTCTGTCATAATAGCTGAACCGCTTCACCGTTGATGCTTTCGATATAATAGACTTGTAGCTCGTCCCGAGAGCTATCGAAATCACTATTTGGATGTCCATCAAAAGCAGTCTTTGATGGAGAAGAACGAAATACAAAAAGTACCTTAAAATTTTGTCCCCCACTTTATATGCTAAGGAGCACATTACTCTGACAAGAGAAGGTTAATTGAGAGTGCATCAAGCGACGAACATCCTTTTGTATGACACAGTGCCAAGAAGAACATTACTCTGGCGTAACAAGGCTAATTGCGCTTACGTCAAGTGTTGGACGTGCTTTCGTATGGCACCCCTTGTTCTCGCTTCAGCGACACGTAATCTTTTCCTGTATAATTTTATTTCTCTTCTTTTCCCTCTTTTTTTCTATATCTCTCTAGTTCGCTTTTTCTCTCGATATTCTTTCTCGGAGAATATCAAGGGAGTCGGAATTGAGTCGAGTCGAGAGGCACACGCACTGAAGTGGTGTGTATACGAACAAGCTTACTGCGTGTATTTGCTGTGGATAGTACGTACGTGTAGTTATTAGAAGCAGAGTGCTGCTAATTTGTTTATTGAACTCATTATTAAATAAATCAATATGTTTCGGTGTTATCCGGACGTTCTCGATTGTATATTGTAAATATATTTCTGGCTCGACATATGGATTAGCTATCGATATTTTCCGTTACAACGTAAAACTCATCTTACACCTCAACTCACATATAACGGGTGACCCAGGTATCATGGCAGTGCTTTTCATTTCCATTTTTCATTCATTTAATCTATTGTACTAAAAAATAAAATATACCACTGGATGCGGCGTAAAAAGCTCTACAATTTACAAAGAACAACTGATTTTACAGTTGTATTTTTTGTTTTCAAAGTCGGCTGAGCAATCAAATTTCGACCGTGCGAAAACGATATTTTTTTGTACAAGATGGATTCGTTTTTTCTTATTTCATGTTTTTATCACATGATATCTTTTATTTAACAAAAAAAGTCAAATATACCACTAGATGCAGCGAGAAAAGCTCTATAATCTGCACGGTAAAGCTTACTGTAATTCTTTTTAAAAAAAGCAAAATTCTCAGCGATCAATTTTCGCACGATCGAAATTTGATTGCTCCAAATTTTGTTGATTTTGAAAGCAAAAAGTGCAACTATAAAAAAGCGATCTTATGTAAATTGTAGAGCGTTTTACGCTACATCTTGTGGTATATTTTGTTTTTTAATACAATATATTAACTGAATGAAAATTTGAAATGAAAAGCGCTGCCATTATACCTGGGTCACCCGTTACTACAGTAGGAACGCATTAAATCATCATTCGATCATTCATTAAACCTTGTTGCACAGTTCGGATCGAACAATTTATTACAATATTCTACAACCCTGTCTTTTTATTCATCAATCATGCCTTGTATTAAAAGGTCTGAATTCTTTAATATGTTTCATTTGTTAAAAATCTTATGCAATTCCTACATGGTTTCTACTTAGTACTATGCTAAACCTAGTAATTTATTTAAAGCTATTTTTGAAGTCGTTCTGTATACTTTTCTTATGCAAACGATGTAGCGTTTTCATTGCCTTTAATCTTTAAGTTAAGCATACTTGATACCATCATAAAGATAATGAATTTATTTTCTATCTCCATTTAATGTATGTATCTTCATGAACTACTAATCACTTATATTTTTATTTTTGAGATTGCAATCGATTGAGTAATCAACAGCTGATATTTGGTCCCTATACAAACAGATCGAATAAAATTAAAGTTGAAAACAAAAAGATGAATATATTCTCATTCGTATTCATTTTGTATTGCCTATGGATTCATTTTCAAAGTAAATTGACTTATGTCATCAACAAAAAAATGTCTTTGACTTAATACTATTTAATTACAGTTAGGCATGCCGAAACTGATTGTTCTGTGTATACCGATGACTTCGACATTATAAACCGAAATCCGTTCTACGTGCGCCTTTACTATAATGAATTGCTTACGTCCGTTTATTATGATGAATTTAGTAAACAAGTAAAGAGATTCAATATATTCAACGACATGAATCCGTCTAAGAATATATATTGTTTAAAAAATCTCGAAAATATTAAATTAAACAATACAAATTTAGCAATATTACCTGATATAAAACGTCTTCAACAACTCAATTCCTTGATAATTCAATCGGATAATGGTGCTATTGATCAACATCTGCCTTCTGAATTCGAACAACTGATTTATCTATCAAATCTAGAATTAACGGACATCTGAAATCTTGAAGATTTACCTGATGAAATTCAATTTCTGAATAAGCTTACATCATTAAAACTACATATAATCCCTAATTTAAAGAAAATACCTGATGAAAGTATTGGAAAACTTATCAACCTGAACAAAATGAGTTTAATTGATTTACCAAAGTTATCAAATATTCCAGCAACAACTAATTATTTTCAATCATTACAACAATTAGAAATAACTAAAACATATATTTCTGAGTTACATTTATCAAACTTAACTAATTTACTAACTTTAAGAATTGCAGCGAACTCAATATTGAAGACAATTGATATTGCACATATGCCTCAGTTAAATTATATTGATATTGAATATAATGGTGAATTGTTAACATTAAAACTTGAAAATTTACCTTCATTACAAACGTTAACAATTGTATCAAATACAAAACTGATTTCATTAGATATGGAAAATTTACCTATTATTCGAACAATATCAGTAACCGATAGTGCACAATTGAAAACAATTAATTTAAAAAAATTAGACACATTAAGCAGTTTCGAATTAAGTTCATTGGGAAACTTAAAATCGATTTCGTTTAATAGTGCTCGATCACTAAATAATATTAGTATTAATTCAAGTCCTTTATTGAAAAATATTTGATTTATTGACGTACCATCAATAACTAGTTTCAATTTATCTAGTTGTCAATTAATAACATTTCCTGAAAGTATTTTAAAATTAAAAAAATTACAAACATTAGTTATGGCGTCAAATCAATTATCAACACTACCATCGACACTATCAAGTGATTTGTTGAATTTAAGAGTTTTTAATGTAACGAATAATAGACTTCAAGGAAATATTTACCAACCAGCACTTCTGAATTTAGCTGAACTTTACTTAAGTAATAATTCTTTGACATCTATTGATGGTATTGGTGAATATAAATCTTTACAACAATTAGAATTAGACAACAATCACATATCATTGATTCCATCTGAAATCATGAAACTATCACCAAGATTGAAAACATTGGCGATTAATAATAATCAATTGACTAATATTCCATATCCGATGGTAAATATGAGATCATTAAACATATTGTCGGCCATTAATAATCATATTTCAGATTTTCAACGACTATATCTTTTAAAATTATTTCAACAAACACAAATACAAGTTAAATTTTAAAACAAAATCAATAACTTTCGATCTAAGATAAACTGTCTTGGATTCGTTTACTAAATAAACAAAATATCGTATAGAAAGAAAAAAGAGATTGTCACAAACGAATAACACATGCTGATCTTAAATAAAAGACCAACTTAGTTAGTTAAATGGAGTTGTTCTACAAGTACAAACTTGAAAATAGAATTAATGAATTCTAACAAAACCAATCTATGAAATTAGTTTTGTATAGACTTATTTTGAAACATTGTTTTAATTGTCATCATTGTGATTCATGTAAAGTTGATCCAATTGATTGTCGTTGAAAAAGGATGTTGTCGAGAATGTTTAGTGATTAGTTGACATCAACATTCATGAAAGGTGTGGGTGTGATGGTGTAGGTGTGGATGTGAGGGTGTCGATGTGGGTGTGCGGACGTCAGGGCAAGTCTGAGATAGACTATGCATTCCACACCCGCCCACATCCACAGCCACACCACACCCACACCCACCGACACCCACACCCACACCCACACCCAATGGGAATACCTTATGTGGGATACGGTAACAAACGACATTGTATACGACCATTTACGATCGTTTACGGTGGTCGTGTAGACGTCGTATACGACACGACGCTATACCGTCGTATACGATCGTAATTTACGCCGTATACAACCGTACCCGCTCCGATACCACGTCCTATACCCCCGTTCACGCCCATCCTNACATATTTTAGGGAACAAAATATTTGATCAGTAAGATAGATTAAATGATCAGTACTAAAATTACCAGTAAATAATAAGACAATGATCTGTTTATTAGATATAAGCATTAGTAAAAAATACAAGTTTGATCAGTAGAAAAATAAGTTTTAACCGTATTAAGTATAGTAGTATGAGAGAAAGAAATTTGAATAAATAAGAAAAAGTCCGAAAGGATATTCAATAGAAATCCAAAGAACAAGTGAGAAAAATGGAAATGAAAAGGAAAGTATTGTAGTGGCAAAGCGGATTTAGTCCTAGCTGGTCTGTCTCCCTTTTTCTTTTCTCACCAGTCGGAATTTTTTGTTGTTGTTCCTGGTGGTTTGCAATACTTTAAACGAACAGTCATTTTCTTCTACAGCTTCATCTGATAGACCACTTTCATATAGTGTAACCTGTACCACTTCCCTCTGATATACTTGTTAACACTTCGCTGATTATGAGGAAGAGGATAATAACAAAGAGTATGTATATATATTAGCGTCCAATGTCGGATTGGAATACATGTTGCCGAACTTGGTTAAAACAATGATATTTCGGACATTACAACCATCAATATAGAAACCAAGTTGGAATTCAAACACTTATTGGATAATTTTTCATTAAGCCTGTTCTTCTATAAAAACTTGTCCATATCTTCCAGAGTCCTACTTTACCTTTTTCATCAATGATTGTACTACCCGAAATACAATTGTTTCAAAACAGTTCAGCAGCAAGTATTCCAATCCAATATCTATCTAGGAACTAGTAGAGGTTTCAACGAAAACTGCTTCAAAGTGATAATCTTAGATTAACTTAGATGGATCTGAGATTGAACTGAATCCGAGACTGGACGCTATCATATATATTTCGTATGTGTTATCTGTACGGCATAGTAAAATAACAGAAAGAAAAAAAAATGAGTCTCACTAGGACATAGTTGAATTTTTATACTCCTCTTTTTATTTAATTTACTGTTAAATGATTATATTTACTGATCAATCATCCAGTTTACTGATCACTTAAATCGTAGCCCATATTTTATATTAGTGTAATGAGATTCAAGAGCATATGTGAATTCCACATTTCAGCTCCATAGGACTACACTGATAAGCTTTTTCTCCGGTTCTAACCACACAAGTAAATTTTGAAAATTCAAACAGAAAAACTAATTATTTTGTCGATTACCCGTTGATAATCAAAATAAGTTGTCTACATATTTTTTGCAAGACTTAAACGTATTGCATAGGATTAATTGTCAGATTCTGAAAATAATCAAAACTCCTGTGTTTATTTTTTCATACTTTAATAATAATCCAAATGTTTCTGATACAGCTTGAACACCTTTATGCCGAAGAATATTCAAATCAATACAATTCAAAGTAATATCAATAACCTATAAGTAAAAAAAAAAATAATTATTTGTTTTTATTCGTGTGCTCTACTCTACTTCAAGAATTAAGTCTTCAATATCTTGTGAACATTTTTCAATAAGAATTTGAATGAGACGAAGTGTTTCAAGTTTATGTTCATTTTTAAGTGTTATTGATGTTGGTGATGATGTTGTTCCAGATTGTACAAGAGCATATTTAGCTATTTCACGTGCAAGTGTCATTATAACTACACGTGAACGAGACGTTGCAATTAAATAAAGGGCTGTTCGCGCTGTTAAACAAGTATCAGTTCTTGGTGTTAATATTCCACCATGTAGACTAGAACGAAGATTATTATTTTCAATAGAAAGACAAAATAAAGATAACATTAGAAAAAAAAAAGCAAGTAATCTCAGCATCTTCGATGTTAACACTACTTGCTCATATAAATATTAGATTATCTCAAATTATTGTTCTCGTTCAAAGATTCATTATCAGAAATTAGACAACTTACTTGCTTGTCATTGTTGAACTATCACTAATAGAACATAAATCAAATAATGTTAGTAGTACTTGTCCAATATCTAAATAGGATTCCCATGTAGTATAACCACGACCGATAAGATCGATTGCTGTCCGACGAATAGCAGTGTGCAATGGAATCTTAAATTTCCTTTATTATTGAATACTAAAATACAACACGAGATTCCAATCCTATTTCTCATTCAAAACAATGATTATCTACGTCGATCATTTTCTTTTGCTATCTCTCATTCATTTAGTATGTGAAATTGCATAAAAGTTCTTTGTTATTGCGTAGGGGAATTCGTTTTTTTTTTGTTGTCATTTTTCTTTCTTCAAGAAATTTCAAAAGAAAATCCTACCACAACTTATGCACAATATCCCTCTATACATGTGTTTGGTTAAATTAAAAATAATTCTTCAAGAATTAATATTATATTCAAAATTCGACTGAAATATTCTATCATATTTTGAACAATCTCTTACTCAAATTTAAAATTATTTCTGGACTTTCAACTGAAAATCCTTTAATCGTAACTGATGATTGTTTTGCATGTTCAACTTCTTGTCTATATCGTGCACAGATAATACCCATAAAAACAATAGATAGTAATTGTTGTCTTTTATATTGTTCTTTCATTATTATTGTTGTTGTTGTTGTGTCATTATTNAGTATAGTAGGGGTAGCATAAGCACTTTACTAGACATTGAATTTCAAGTTGAAAATGGTGTCATCAGAACGAGAAAGTTGAATTACGTATCTGGTAAAAAAATCTCCTGGTTCACCCTTATGAAATGTAAGTTTAAAAAGCCGAAATAATCAGTATTTGTAACAATATGACACAATCGAGAAGGTATTTCCTAATTATCGGTTAAAAAGGGTTTCAATACTTAGGACCTTCTTATACTAGGTTGGAAATAATATTTTGCCAGGGGGGGGGGGGTACCGTTATAATTTCAAATAGGATAGATAATGAATTTTATACCAAACGAAAGCCCGTCAAAAACGGGGTTTATTGGTACTAAATAATAAGCGTTATGGAAATTTTCATGTGTTTAAGTATCTTAATCTAGGGAGTTCCACCGATTATAAATATGAGAAAAATTATTGATAAGATGAAGTTGGAACTAAATGTGATACAAAATTCTTTATTTTTTCATTGTTTTATGAGTACAATCAATAATCAGTATGACGGCCGTTAGCGTTCTTTACTGCACGCAGTCGCGATGGATATGAACATAGAAGAGTTTCAAATAATTCAGTATCTTCTTCCATGTGTGTCAAAACATCTGAAATGTGCATTTTGAGTGTTTCTTCAAGATAACCAGAATGTTCAGTTTCTGACAACATCCTTTTTTCAACTTCATCCTTGATTATTGTCCCAATATGTTCGGCCATGTTCAGATCGGGTGAATTTCCAGGCCAAATATCATTCCCCCAAAACTTAACGTCGTTGTCTTGAAGCAAATGTAGGGTCGGATATGCTCGCATACATGGTGCTTTATCATGGACAAATATAACTTCATTGGGATCGATAACATTTTCTTCATCTTTTAAGAACGGAATCACGTTTTCAGTCAAAATTACATCACGAAAATATTGACCAGTCCAAGATTCACCTTTCTCTTTAATCACCCAATGTAATCTTTTTGCAGTAAAGATAACAAATATCCCGATACATACTTGATCTTTCACCATTTCACGATAACGTTCGTCTTCTTCGATATCATCGACGCTTTTTGCCCAAATTCGATCGTTCTGATAATTTGGTCGACGAACGACCCACACGTAAAATTCATCAGATGGTGCCAGATGAAGAAAATCTTCTTCGGTCCAATCTTTTAACCAATCGCACAGCCATAATCGATTTGATATATGGGTTTCAGACTTCAACGGTTTTGGAATAACGTGGAAAGGTTTCAATCCTTCTCTATGGCGGTAATTATTGATTGTTCTTCGAGTGACATATTCTCTTTGCTTTTGTGCAATTTCCTTTGCCACAACAGAACAGCTTTTTCTTTGCTGACCACTTGCTTTACGAATGATGTCTTGACTAGCTGGTGACAATTTAAGTTTGGGACCAGCTCTTGAATAATCAGCAACGCATTGGTCATATGATTTTCCCCACCAGTCTGTAACAAATCGAACTGAGCGATGAACTTTCTCCGATACCCATTGTCGATTAATAAATGTTGCACCAGCATCTCGAGCTTCACGAAAAGCAATGCATTTGATTCTGTCAATAATTCTTTGTTCTTCAGTATCGTAAGTACTAGCCATTTAGAACAATTAGGTTGTTTGATCCAGGGAAAAAATAGAATTTTTATGAAGTATATTATTCAGAGAATGACCTTATATATTGTTCGATAGTTGCTTAAATTTCTCTATTCTATTGCTTTTCGAGATAAGAAAAATAACAAAATCTTTTTTCTTTACCGCGATCACGAGGAGTAGAGGGTGAATCCGCCGGTTTTCTACCATTTTTTGGAAAATTTTTTTTTTCGCACTTTTGATATTCCAGTTGGACGGAGCATAGCTGAAAACGGTTGGAGGTAATAATTAAAAAGTTTTGGAAGGTCAGAGTACGGAGATCCAGGTTGCTTTTTCGGAACAACTCCTCACATATGGGAATTATTAGGACAGTACCCCAGAATTTGCATTAACTTCTTCCAAATGAAGTCAAACTTTCTGAGCTAACAGGGTTTGGGCATCTTAGAATAATCATAAGTTCAAAAAAATTTTAAACCTTAGTAAGGGATCCAAAGGTGGGGTAAGACTCGTACAGGGGTGTCACTGGTGTGCCAGGTCATACATAATTCCACTATTTGAAATGATTGAAATCTGAAAATTTTACCATAGATACTACTTGTTGAGGTGATCATTTTCGGTAGCAAGCGTTTTCTTTTCTGGTGTTCTGTTTTTTGGGAAATCGCACAAGAAAATGGTAATTTCTGACGTTTTTTGGGCAGAAGTATCTCAATGAAGCTTAAACGTACTTTTATTTGTCATTAGTGCTTTAGAACCGCCAAACTGTTCTCAATTCAACGTTGAAATCCACAGATCTGTAGCTTGTTCTTGGACCAAATGGCAAAAACATCTTTCGGATCTAGTTTTAAAAATGTCCCAAATTTGTACCTTCGCCTCAGGCACAATTTTGAAAAACCAAAAACCTATCTTATAGTGGATTTTCATCAGTACACTTAGCTCTACCGTCCCTGAAATTTTCGTTTTTGATCAATGCTACTGGGCCCAGAAAACGGACAACTCGGTTGATATAAGTAATAGCAATTTGAAGTGATCGACACAATAGTAATTATCTTGGTTTTTATGACAATATTTACTTTATAAAACGAATCTGTAGCGACCAGAAAGCGGAATCAAGAAAGTAGATGTTTGTAGGAAATTGACTGCAATGGTTCGGTGAAACTGTCGCTTACGTTTTTATATGAGCATTAGAAAAACCTCTCAGCGTACATATTCAAGAAAAATGCGGTTCAAAAGTGAAGTTTTCACGTTTTTGAGAAGCAGATGTCCTACGACAAGAGATTGTGTTGTCAGATAAAACTTCGAAATCGTGCATGCAACGAATACCATGAATTGTGCCTGTCTCAAAAAAGAACAGTAAGTTTCAATAAAAAAATTAAGAGGTTTGACGTACCTGTTGTTTTGAATTGCTTGAGCCTTTCATTTAAAACGGTCAGCTTAGTTCATTGTATTTGCTTCTCTTCAAGGAAAAATATATCGATGGCTGGGTGATCCTTGCCAGCAGCTTTAGCTTTTTGCAATTGTTGGTTTTTGGAAAATGTAAAAAAGTCGTACGGAGTTGATAGTAGAATATTTTTGGAAAGGGTGATTCGCCTCGCTGTTGATTTTAAAACAGCTCCAACGCCGTCACCGGCCCCCTTCCCGTGGCCAGTGGCGGTAAAAGCCCAAGAAGCGTCCAAATTGAAGTCATTCTTATGATGTACTAAGTTGAGCATATTAGCATTGTTTTTAAATTGAGAGCTACAACCATCACTTGAATAAAAATATAAAACTATTTGGTGCTGTGGTCCATAATTAAATTCCACAGGAAACCAGGGAGTCTAAGATTTGAAAGTTTCAAATAGTTTATAATATCTCAAATAATTTCGAATACTTCGAAGAGCGAACGAATTTCAAAGACATTATCGAGCTTCGCAAAATATGATGAGGTTTTGAGACTTTCTAAGAACCATGGCACATACTATTTTGTACTTAGTTAAGTCATTGGAAAAAAATAATCATGTAAGCCTAATTTAATCTAACTGTGATTAAGATGTGTCTAAATATAAAAAGTAAAAATACGTTTTCAATGTTTTTGCTTTCTTCAGATCCGTAAACCCAGTTTTATATAATGTTATTCTTTAACATATGATTAACTTCATTTACCTGATGTAGATAATTCTTTTGAGAACAGGAAAGTTTTTCTTTACGTAATCAACAAGAATTTGTTGAGCACAGTAAACAAATGCGACGTTATGCTCCATTGAATTACTGATTATTGCAATATCACGGTGTTCTTTTCCGATTGTTAAATGAATTGTAAAAAGAGAGACTTGATGTTGAGAAAAGAAGTCTTGTTGCACCTCTCGTTGACGAATTAGGGTGTAATTCATAGAGAAATCCATTTGAGCAACAATAAAAGGTGTTTTTGTTGATTGTGTACGAATTTCAGCTATATATTCACGTTGTCTTCGATTGCAAAATGTATGCAAAATAAATGAGGGCCATTCTGCTTCTATTTGAGCAAAGAGTGCTTCAACGGAACCCGTGGTTTGTTGCAAGTCAAATTTGTTGTTCAGTTTTTTCCAAGTAGTCCAAGAACAATTTTCATC